CACAGACAACCTCTCGTCAATATGCGTTTTTTGCATTGCATAACTGCAAAAAACGCATAAAAACCCGGGGACAGTGAAGAACTGTATCCAAATCTCTCCCGGTACACATTTTTAAAAGAGCTCTTTTCACAATAGCATACGCAAGGGAACATGCAAAATTCCGAAAAATAAGAAGTAGAAACAAAAAGTACTTCTTCTTCTTCTTCGCTCAAATCGACTATGAAAGGACTGTGGGGTTCCTCGAGATTCTCGTGAAATTGCCAATTGAATCCTTGGCGGCCAGAGGGGCCGGACATCTAAAGCAAATAAATTTTCTGCAACTGCGACTTTGAACCAGTAGTCAAAAATAAAAAATAATCCATTCGTTTTGCTGAATTTTACAAATTGGACAAATTAGCTGAGAATGCCTGTACAGAAATGTGAGAATGGTACAAAACTGAGAACCTATTAACGATGCGCAGCAAACTGCTGCTGCGATCATGCGTTTTCTGTAACTTGAATTTGTGTGCGACCCATTCCGCACCGATTCTGTCGTCTGTGTTTACAGCTTAGGAATGAAACACAGACAGGATATCAGCTTTATGTGTACATACAGGCTTGCTTATCTGGGAGATTTAAATGGCATTTCCAGTTTTTCCATAATTGTCAAAATTTGATTATGCTCCTCTCTACGGTGGGCCAACAACGCCACACAAACTGCGTATTTCAACACACAGAAGAATTCAAGCCCTCGTCCTCTTCCAATCCCCTAGCTAGAGATATTCACAGTTTGCATCTTTAAAATTTCTGAAACACTTCGTATGCGAAACATGAGTGTTCCCGAAAACTGATATTATGCTAATCTGTTACCACACACGATGTGCGCCAGCATTCTTGCAAAATTTCAGCTTTCTTGTTTGTCTGATTACTGAGAAAGGAAAATGACGATAATGTTACATTTTAAAAGCATTCATTGCGCAGATTACAGTCGCAACCAAATATTCATTTTATGCATATAGACCCGCACATGCACAGCATATATCTTCACAATAATAATGCTTCTTGCTCAATATGTTTAATGAGTTAATTAGACAAATGTCCCAAAACAAACTTCGGCCCAAACAGCGATGTTGACCATACTCTTCATGCAGGAATTTTACTCTCTCAAATGTTAAGTTATGCACGGATTTGTTCCTCTCTGGACCG